TGGCTGGGTGCGCCGGAGCCGGTGGCCCTGCGAGCGCTGCGCCTGGAGGCCCAGGGCCGTGCCACCGCCTCCTGGGGCCCAAGCGCCGGAGCCCGCGTCTCGGCCAGCACCGCGACTCCAGCCGCCGCCTCGGAGGTGGAATACCTGGACGTGCGCCTGAGCCTGCGCGAACCCCCGGCCGGTGAGCGTGGCGATCGCCTAGCTTTCTCATCCGTGCAGCGGGAGGCCCCGGGAAGGGCTGGGCGAGGGCGGCGGGATGCCCACCTGGCAGGTGGGCCGGCTTCCGGGGTGGGGTCGCAGGTGAGTGGCGGGTAACAATGCGGGCACCCCCACCTCGCAGCACGGGGGTGCACTGGGTGCAGCAGCCCTGCCAGCCCCCCCACTCCCTGGCTTGCCTGGGCCTGACAAGTACCTGATGTCCCAGGATCTTCTAGGACCTCGAAGGGAGTGGGCTGTTGCCATGGGAACCCGTGATTGGACAGTCAGAGATCCAGGCTCTGTCCCTTCTGGCCTAAGGATCGGATCGGAAGGGGGATTCGAACCAGTGTCTACGAGGTTTTGGTCTGCGGTGTCCCATGTTGTGTGGCCTCTAGTTCTTCCCATCCTGGATCTAAGCATTCTTTGACTCATGATGAATTAGCAGAAACTAAGACTTCAGGGGAAGGAGGTAGTTCTTGGGGCGTAGGGGTTTCAAGGCCGTGTCCCTAGACTTAACCATCAGGCCTGCCTTCCCTCTGCTGGGAAACGAGGTGACTTACTAAGAGTTCAGCCCAGACCTGACGTGGCCACTTTCTGTTTCCTTTACACCTTCTCCAACCTCGCTGCTCTCCCTCATTCCCATGCCCAAAAGGCCTTTAGAGAAAATGCCATCTGGGTTTTGATTTCTGGATTCCCTGATACTCTCTAGTTTATACTTGTGACATCCAGTGAATAGGGATGGCATATTTTTTGCAAGTTCCCATGTAGGGACCTCGTGTTGGGTCTCTGCACATAATACTAGGTACAAAATATAATGCTTTTCATCAAAAACAGTAGGTTTTCGTCTCCTTGCAGTTAGTGAAATGATGTTAAAATTCTTTTCACCTCCCTGCCTCCTGGGCTTCTATCTGTCATGTCAAAGATAATGGGAGGTATACAGCCTTCCCCCATGAAGGTAAACCGCGTTATCTCTAGATACTTACTTAATCCTTGGTATGTCTTACACCAAATAGAACATGTGGTCCGTCCTTATCCTCCTGTGGGGAAGTAGACTGTCTACAGTGAAGACCTTAAGTCATGTGACCATCTGAGTGATTCCAACATGGTAATGAGGAACACCCAGATTTGGAGCCAAAACTTTCTCTTAGATTAATAAGACCAGTGTGTTAGGTGATAGTTTTGACCTATCTCTGTGTTCATTCCTCAACCTGGTTTCCAGGATCTGCCCACCGGGTGCCTCCCCCAATGGTGACAAGACAGATTTTTCAAGATGGCTGCCTGGAGTTAAAGGCCATGGAAGAGAGACAAGTTGGATTTTGCTCAGGACTGTGGACTCTCTCTTTCTGGTCCCCTAACTGCTGAGTTAATAGGTGTAAAATTAAAAGCACTCGAGGCTGGAATGAGCAGTGAAACGTTGCTTTGGTAAAATCTAGGTTAACAACGCTATATTTTGATTCGCAAGTCAGACCTTTGCAAGTGGGCTAGAGTTTCCACTTGAAAATGGTCAGCTTGTTCTAGAATGTAAATATTGACAGCAGTTAACGTAAAATCATAGTCTCTTTAAGTTAAGGAGGGAAAGTCATCCCGACAGCTGTAGCTGGAAGAAGATAGCAACTAGTCATAGTCATGGATTCTCATGGTAATGTTGAAATTCAAAACTTTAGGGAATCAGTTAGCGTAATGGCTCTGTCGCTGGACTCCCACATAGTCGACCGCGGTTCGCGTCCCGGACCTGGTGGCTTACAACTCACGCCGGGCGCGTGTGCGTGTGTGCCCAAGATCCCAAGAGGAGAATGGAGGAGAAGGAATTGTGGCGTGACCATCCCCCATGGGGGGTGATTTCTCGCTTTCTGTCTCTCTGTCTGGCGAGCGCACGCGCCCTATAGCGAAAAAACCTCTCCAAAAAAAAAAAAAAATTCTAAACTTTGCTGTGTTTCAGTCACCTAAAGAAGATTTTTTTAGAAATCTGTATTTCTGAGAAATGTGGCCCTAGGATCATCCATTGTGGGGGGACAGGTGGCAGGAGACCAGCATAGTGATTACATCGCTGGGTTCCCACATGGCCAACTACAGTTTGAGTCCTGGACCGGGTGACTTGAAAATCACACCAGGCACGTGTGCATGGGTGCCCAGGATCTCAGGAGGAGAATGGATTGTAGTGTGACCATCCGCCTGGGGGTTGATTTCTCACTTTCTCTCTCACTCTCTCTCTTTCTCTGGCGATCTCTCTTTCTCTGGCTAGTACACACGCCCTGTAGCAAAAATTTCAAAAACAAAAAAAAAAGGTTTCTGGGGAAATGGAATTAAAGTACAAGTTTATTTTAGTGCCCCAATTTTTTTTGAAATTAATTTATAGATTTTTTTTTTTGGAGAGGTTTTTGCTATAGGGCTATAGGGTGCATGCACTCGCCAGACAGAGACAGAGAGACAGAAAGCGAGAAATCACCCCCCAGGGGGGATGGCCACGCTACAATCCCTTCTCCTCCATTCTCCTCTCGGGATCTTGGGCACGCACACACACGCACCCGGCGTGAGTTTAAGCCACTGGGTCCGGGACACGAACCACGGTCAACTACATGGGAGTCCAGTGACATAGCCATTACGCTAACAGCTGGTCCCGAAATTAATTTATAGATTTTTTAGGTAATATGTATTTTGTATGACCCTTCATGTATTCAAAGTGCCCAGTTCAATCTTCGGTGACATTCATCATCTGTCATTGTGATGGGTTTGAAGTGTACTTGTAAGGCAAAAAGAACCAGACAGCTGTTTGAATTCTTGGTCGCTTTTCTGCAGTGTGACCTGAAAAAGGCTCTCACCCTTCCTGAGCCCAGTTCCTGACTATTAATGGTTTCTGGATCACTGCTCATAAAAGCCTTTAATGAATATATTTTAGCTCTAAGACCATTAACAAATGAAACATCTCCCTGATGTTTTTAGTGTACACACAGAGGCAATGAGCCACGAGAACAAAAGTGGAGATGGGTACATAGTTCAGCTTGACTCTCCCCACCCATTTTATTTATTTATTTTCACTATCAAATCAAGGTTATTATCCTATTCTTCATTTTCTTTTCTTTGGGAGAAGTTTTTGCTATAGGGCACATGCGCTCGCCAGGAAGACAGAGAGTGACAGAGAGACAGAAAGCGAGAAATCACCCCCCAGGGGGAATGGCCACGCCGCAATCCTTTCTCCTCCATTCTCCTCTCGGGATCTTGGGCACACACGCACCCGGCGTGAGTTTAAGGCACTGGGTCTGGAACTTGAACCGTGGTCGACTGCATGGGAGTCCAGCAACATAGCCATTATGCTAACTGCTGGTCCCCCTTATTCTTCATTTTCATTTGAGAATTGTTCATTCTTGGGCCTATTAAAGATTTCTTTCCTTTGCCTCTTCTACCTATCCTCTACCACCTGCTCCCTTCCCTGACAGTCTCTGGTATCTACATTATCTTTCCTACTATCTTATCTTTGGATCTGTCCATTTCTACCATAGAGTGCAGGCATTTGTTCTATTATATTGAGCAGAGATATACAGTGTGTGTCTTTCATAGTCTGGCTTATTACTTCACTTAAAAGTAAGTCTTCCATACCCAAACGCTTTGAGTCAAATGACAGTGTCTCCTTGTTCCTTACGTCTTAAGTGTATTCCATAGTGTGTATGTGTCACAAGCTTGTGAGTTTTTACATTATAAAACAATAAACAATCAAGAGAGGAAAAGAAAACAAAGATGTGGTTCCAAATACAATAATCTGTTTTTTCTTTTCTATTTATGTTTCAAGATTATTGAAAGTTTCATAGTAAAGGATATGTTTCCACATTTGTATTTTCTTTTTAAATTTTTTTTTGAGAGGTTTTTTGCTATAGGGCCTGTGCACTCGCCAGACAGAGAGAAAGAGACAGAGAGACAGAAAGTGAGAAATCACCCCCCCAGAGAGGATGGCCACGCTGCAATCCCTTCTCCTTCGTTCTCCTCTCGGGATCTTGGGCATGCATGCACATTCACCCAGCTTGAATTTAAGCCACCAGGTCTGGGACTCGAACCGCAGTCAACTACATGGGAGTCCAGTGACATAGCCATTACACTAACTGCTGGTCCCTTAATTTTTTTTAAGAGATTTTTGCTATCAGATATGTGGATTCTCCAGAGACAGAAAGCAGGAAATCACCCCCCAGGGGGAGATGGCTATGCCATAATCCCTCCTCCTCCAATCGCCTCTCAGGATTTTGGGCATGCATGCACATGTGCCCAGCATGAGTTTTTAAGCCACCGCGTCCAGGACTCAAACCATGGCCAACTACATGGGAGTCCAGCGACATAGCCATTACGCTAACTGCTGGTCCCGAAGCACTGTACGTTTTGAACTCAGTTGAAATCCACATTTTGAAACATTTGTAAGTACTTGGTCATGTTCCCTCATTGAATGATTACAATGGGAACGTTAGCCCAGCTCTCTCCGGATCGCTGGCCTAGCCTGGAGTCCTGCACTTGCCAGCCATGACATTGAGACACTTCCCTGACTTTCCATATTGCAGCCCCACCGTGACACTGCTGAGGGGGATATGCTGGCTCTGCAGCACCCCTGCACCCCCATCCCTGTCATCTCTCATGATCTCTTGTCCCCGGGCCTTGTTTGTGTTTTATTTTTTCCCCCTTGTCACTCACCTGTGAAGTAGTTCTATTCAAATGAAGTGGCAGCTATATTACTTTTCTGCCCCTCCAACTTCTCGGGTTGTTGGAAACATCATGGTGTATTTTTCTATGTTTTTCCACACAAAAATGCATCATGATGTTTCCGACCACCCAATATTACAACATTAGAAATTGAGAATAGATTGAAAAAGACTTAATATGCCAATAACATGTTCCTTTTTTAAAGAATTATTTAAACTTTATTTAAATTATTTAACTTTATTTATTATTGTTTTTTAAATTTTTATTTTTAATTTGACCAGAGAGAGAAAGTGAGAAAGCAAGCCA